CAGCAGCTTAGCCTCTCCAGCAACTTGCGGAGAATAGAGCGAGAAGCTTTCCTCCAGTGCGCCTCACTACAAGAGGTCTGCATTCCATCAAGCTGTACATTGCTCGGCGAGCCTTTGCTGGCTGCGCGCAACTTCGCACATTTTACAAAACTGGGAAAAGCACGACTTGGAGAGAGACATACGCTCGGGTCAATGCCTTTGACAAACGCGAGAAATTAGACAAGCCGAAGTGGCTTCGTTTCCTGCCGCCAAACGCCAAAGACAAGTGGAGGGAAGACTTCACTGAAGCAGCGCGCTAGGACTTACAGTAGCTTAGTCACACTGTGTTAGAGTAAGGCGCCCTTCTCCTACGGTTCGAGTGCAGGCCAGGCTCCGACAAGCAGATAGAGTTATCAATCTCGCCTTCACCGCCTGCAATTTTGTGAGCCCACCGGGATGAGAGCCTTAGCTCCTCGTCCCTGGTAGGCGGGTGGTAGCAGAGCGGTTGATGGAAGGCGCCCAGGTTGCTCGTCTGCGGCAGCCAATCTTGTACAAAGATGGCATAAGTACCATGCTAGGATAGGTCTCTGTCTCACCTGTTTCACATGGGCCATGCATGTTGTAGGATAGTGACCTCAATGCTCACTATCTGATGGATAAGTCACCCCTTTGGCAAACGCGTGGGAGCCATTGGGTGTGCGGTGTGCCTCCCTTCTGGGAGGGAAATCAGCACGTCGTCAGCAGTCCTTTCGTTGCAATGCCTTCCACTGCCACACTCAAGATTAGCCTCTGCTTTTCGTATGCGCAATCTGTTGTATAGTTTGTGCCACGGAGAGGGAATTTTCCACGGCTTGCCCTGCCTTGCAACTGATGACTCCTTGGGCGTGTGTCATTGTCACTGCTGACCTTGCTCTAGGCACTTCGTAGAATGTCGAAATACTCCGAGTGCCAACCATCAAAGTGGCTTGGGTGACTTCATCCTCGCCAACAGAGAGGCCACACTTGATTGGCCGTGCCGAGCAACCACCCACGACCAGATGCATTTTGCCTTTCGTGGTGAATTCAGGCCCTTAGATATTTTGCAGTTCATTTTCTCACCTGTCTCACATCCGTACAGAGGAAACACTACCAACATTGATGGGGGGTCTTTGGTTGTGGCCTTGGTTTTTTGTTTGCTTTGGGTTTGGGTTTTGGGGTTTTGGTTGGTTGTGTTGGTGTTGGCTTTGTGTTTTGCTTCCCCCATCAATATGCTGTGTTTCCTATCCTTCTACGATGACCTGAGCACACCGCCCACATGGCGTCCGCACTCGTGGAAAAAATCTGCTTCACCCTTGCATGTACATCCAAGAGTCTCCATCTTTGTGCCTTCTTTGTCGGTTTGTTTGGTTTGGGGCGCTTGTTGTCTTTGTAGTTTTTTGTTGTTTGGCTCCCTTTCATGCTGGAGAAAAAATAATCGCACAAGCTGACCTGTACACTTCCTGCATGAATGGCGGTTCGACTCGTGCAAAGCTGAGGATCACACGGTACAGGCTTGGCCATTCTCTGCAATTGCACGTTCTGCCGCCACTCGGAAAGCTTGGAATGCACTGTTTGAGCTCGAAGAATGCCGTGCCGGGCCCCCTCGAGATCATGGTCTGGAGGATGGCACCTGCTCCGGACAGGTGCACGACGCCCGCAAACCACGCAAGTCACTCAAACAAGCTTCAATTCTCAGTGATCCTTTTGGATGAAATCGTGTGCAGTCTTTGTTGACTTCGAAAGCATTCGCCCTGACCATCTGACTGCAACACCACGACATTGTCTAGCAATTCAGGTTTGTTGCCACTGACTGCCCACTGGACGTCCTTCGGACATTGGCGAGCTGGCTTTTCTGTGACTCATGCCACCGAAGACAGCCACTTTCTGTTGCAACTCACCAAGCCCAGTCTTTTCACACCGAGCAAGTGCTCTCTTTGGTGTTTGGTCCCATGAAATCGAAAATCTCTACAACAGCTGACCTTCGCATTCTTTGCGATCACTGGCAGCCGCACGCATGCAAAAAAAATCTTTGTTGGGCGGCTGCGTCGTCTGAGGAAAGTTCCAGTCGAGACGAAAGGTCAAAAAAATTGAGATGGGTTTTCATGAGAAGTCAGAAAGTTTCGAAGCTGGTCGAAAGTCTTTTGAGGATCGGAGTCGGAAGGTCTTATTGGCAAAGTCATGGAAGATCTTAGAGACTCAGACATGGCTTTCTGGACGGTCGTGAATCCGAGATGGCTTGGACAATTGTGTTCAGCGTGGAAATCTTCATGTTTCTTTTGCTGAGCGAGATCTTTTGCAAGTCTGGAGTCAAAGTGGCGATCAATGGAAAAGAGCGTCACGTCCAGAATTGCCAATGATTTGCCAGAGCATTTGTCGGTCCCGTGGAGTGGAGACAACGTTGGATCACGTGGAAAATTTGGTGCCACTTATCTGGAAAGATTGGTTGCGGACTTGCAGGAACTGTTGAACACTGCAGTCCTTGCCATCACACCAGAGGACGAACAATGAATCGCCTGAAACTGTGCAAAAGCTGTGACGAACAAACACCTGAAGGAAGGAACAAATCAGACCGCAGAGTCCACTCAGACTACAGCTGGTTCAAAGTGAATGATCTTCACTTCAAAAGGGGGTGTGAAAGGTTGTGGCGTTCGCGAGGTGCAGGCTATTGTTTTAGCTGTGAGGCTTTTGCTTTTGGAGTGCGTAGTTTTGCATTTCAAGTGTTTGAGCAAGTGTTCCCCACGGAACTTTGTGTTTGGATGTGTTTTGGACAGCTTTGGAGAGCATAGCTCACGGAATGCATAGTGTTTAAGAGCTTTGTGAAGAGAAGTCTTTGTAGTTTTTGTAATGTGAATGGGTTTAGAACAATTTTGCGCATGTTTTGGGTGCTCTACGCTCGATACCTGCGGTATTTCGCATGGGAATCGTTTGTTACAAGAATGCCTCATAGCCTTTTGACCTTTACTTGTTTGGCTCAAGTGCGCAAGAAAAGAGGGCGATGCGTTATGCTTTTGAGCGCTGTTGCCAGTGCTTTCGTTTTGTGTGTAGAGCGTTTCTAACCTATTTACTTAAGGTAGGAGGTTTTTCACGAGTTCCGGAGGTTACAGAGATGAGTGAGCCGCCGGAAGGTGAACATTCCGTTGGAGAAACTTTGGATGCCCCAAATGGGTTGTACATCGAACAACTTACCAGGTCGCACATTATTTTCCAGTGCGAGCTCAGTTGAAAGGCCTATGCCAATTTCAAGGCCAAACAAAAGTGGTGGACTTTCTGATGTCGAACATGAAGGAGAGACAGAAGCTGAACGAACAGAGCGATACGCGCAGTCAGGGACGGTTGGACGAAGTGAGTGGTCCTGAATCCTGACAGCTCGTCAGAGGGCACCAATGGAGGAACACACTGTGGAATGCGTGTTTTTTGTTGGATGCCCCTGTGAAGCCGTCTGAACCGCAGGCATCCGGTTTTGGTTTGAAGTGCCGTGCAACAGTTGAACCACGGTAGAGTACGACAAAACAGCACTACCAGCAAATTTTCGCATGGACGTTGAACAAGTTGCAATACAAGTTCTTTTGTTGAAATAGTGCCGGAGAGCGCCGGAACGGTAGCTAGACAAACCTTTTTCTATGTCACCATGCAGATGGTGACTTCCATTCAAGCATCTCAAAAAAATATTGCTGAAACTCGTGCGTTTAGCATCAAGGCGAGGTGTGAAGTACTTCTTCGCTGCGTACCCCATGCGTATTGAGGTGCAAGTGTGTGCTAGTTGAAAGCTACTCAGCTTCCGCAGCGCATGGGGTCGAAAACAGCGTGCTACCAAACACTCTTTCTGTGATAGGCCCCCTTTTCTTTTGTTTCTCAAGCGTTGCTGCATGAACCCCGGTGCCTTCAGAACAGGGGCTGCCCTTTTGGAGACCATTCTGCTTGAATGCTTCTTCAATTTTTGGTCCCACTTCGTGCTTATCCGCTTCCTGTATAGTGGATGCCAAGGCATTTTAGGCCATAGCATCCCAAGTTCCGCTTTGGACAACTGCGCCCGCGCCTTCAGTTTTGTAAGTCGAATCATTTGAAGAGCCACTATTACTGTCCAAGACTTTGTTCTGTGTTTTGATCACTGACGTTGGGGATCACTTGACCTCCAGCACCGTGAGGTCTTGGGTTTGAACCCATTGATCCTTGAGTCAACTGATACTAGAGATTTCTTGACAGAAAAAATGTTTAGTTTGATTAACAACCACACTGCCAAATGTTGCCAGTACTTCGTCAGCACATTCGTGCCCAGCTGTTGAGGATTTTTTTGTATATTTTTGATGGCTGACCCATTTTGGACACCTTGGCATGGAGGTATCTATGCATATGTTTGGTAGTGGATGTTGACGAAGTTATCCCGTAACCCTAACATGTTGACGAGGCATCGTCACAGGCGTGGATAGGGAAACACTTTCGTAGCTTGCGTTTTTTGTGCACGGTTTGCTTTTGGTTCAAAGGCGAAATTTTGCTTCATATCGGCCAAATTCAACCATTCGTGGAAACAACTAACCATTCTTGATGAGATGCAGTTGCAAATCTTTGGCCAGAGTGAGCCCACACAGTTTTTGAGAACAATACGTACAATTTATACAATTTTTCAGGTTCAACGCAAAAAATCAACCCAGCAGATTCAACTTAAACATTCACGGATTTGATAAGTTGGAAACCGATTTTGCTATGGCCACAGGGTCGGAACCTCAAATGAAACAACTTTGGTTCCGCTGTTGTGTTGTGTTGTGCCAGGGATGGGACAGCGAAGGCGCCAATGTGACCCATCATGATGATTGTGTTTTGAAAGAGCATTAATCTGATGGCAACATTTGAAACTGTCAGGTGAAACTATGCGATGCATTGGTTCAAAACTTGGCTGTGGGCAAGGTCTACAGGGACCACAAGGGTCCATTAAGTGGGCAGTAGCCTGAGTTTTCTGCAGTCAACTCAAAGATGTGAAACGCCGCGTTTTTCTGCATTTGTCCAGGATGGATTTTACTTACGACGGGCAATTCCTTGTGACATCCGGCGAGGATTCGTTCACAACCGTGACATATGTTGGGAATCATTTTAGCAGAAAAAATGCGGAACAAGGTTCACAACCACCAGGGAACGACACTTGTAAAGGACAACAGCGTCTATGTGTACTCTTGCGAGAAGGCTTCGCGGGTTCGACATCTACGCACTGGCCTCTGGCGTAAAGAAAAACAGCCGCAAACTCCTCCTTGCTGCGTTAGCCAAGGTTGTGAGAAGTATGGCATAGCTTTGATTCGGTTTCTTCACAATGACAGGCCGCAAACATTGGCTATATGCATTGTGTATTTACCTTTTTGAACGCAGTTTATGTGCTTATGATTATGCTTTGGAATAGACGTTGTCTTAATGCATGGGAAAGCCCAATGTTCCATTAAGATGACCTTTCCCCTCTTCCGTGACATCGGTTAATTTGCCTGCGGTGTTACATTTGCCACGTTTCTTGGTTGCAAGAATCACTGGAAAAATGGACGAGAAATTTCTTACTGACAGGGTGTCTCAATAGCGTTGGAACCGTTTAGACTTTTGACATCTCAGTGCAGGGATTGTGCTGTAGCGGCTTCAAGAAACGAGGTGTGGCTAGCATCTGCATTTCATGCCATTCTGAGTGGCAACCCTTTGCCTTGCTAGGCTGACCATCTACTTAAGTATTGGGATTTCCACGACAACAAGTATCTTCGCCACAGCCCCGACAGATTGTTTTGGGGCAAGTCTATTGATAGACAACTTTGTTGCAAGGCTTGTTCCGGAGCCACACTGGCAAAGTCACCTCAGCCGGCATCCCAAGCTGAAAGCAGGAAAGTGCATTGTGGCGAGTTTTGTGCTTGAAATCTTGCTTGGCAGGTCAGCCCGCATCCTTACGAGGCTTAGATTCGGTTGTGAGGCTTTGAGGGTTCCTTTTGAATCGCTTCACCCTTCAGGACTTGTTTCTCTCCGGTGCGGAGGACAGGTTTACAGAAAGTGGTTTAGAGAGATCGCCTGAATTCAAAGCTACGAAGGACAAATGCGTGCTGCTCTGGGATTTGAGACAGGAGAATCCTTTCCGGCCATCACTTCCTCCGTTCTGGAAGAACTTCTGCATGCTCTGCATAGGACCGGCCTGTGGCCAAAATCAACGGGCAGGGCACAACTGTTGCAAGCTTTGACCAGCGGGGTGCCCTAATGTGCTTGGAAGCAGATGGAAAGAGCTGAGAGGCGTGGTTCTGAGTGCTATAGCTCACATTTCAAAATCCTTGTAGATAGCTTTCACATGTTTTCACAGTTGGTTCCGATATTCTTTGTCCTTAGCTCCATGTTTAGGGTGCTAGCCTGCGGCCTGAGGCAAGGCTTGGTCTTTGCAGCTTGTGTGGGACAGCCAAAGCTGCATCTCTTCGACACGCGTAATTATGCCAAAGGCTGGAATTGGGAATTTTCACTTCCACCCTTGTAGCCAACCTACAGCGATGGCCTCCGCCCTAGTAGCGATGGCCCACGACCTAGTAGCGATGCCAACCTAGTCTTAGTAGCAATGGCTTCCAACCTACTAGCGATGGCCCTGTTTTCTTGTCAAATCACGTCCTTCTGCAGGAGAATTCACCTCCTTCGACTTGAGACCGCATCTTAAAGATCCAGCCATGAGCTGAGTTGAAACACACGATGGGACTTTGGAGATTCTTGTTCCTTGTGAGGCTCATAGTGTACAGTTCAGCCCATGCGGCAAGTACCTGCTCCTTCGTACCCCGTGCTTGTCCCAGAGTCCCAGAGTTGCTGTACCCGCTGTCATCACACATTTGTGCTATGTGACTTGTTGGTATGCACCGGAATCTTGCCTTTTCTGATGTTTTTATATCCTTTTGTTTGAGGTCCCAGATGGTGTTGATTGATGCCTTTGATGGGGAGCTTATCTGCGAATACCCTGTACAAGAGCAAGGTGCAAGACATACGACTGTACAAGAGCAAGATTCATCGTGTTGAGGACAGGCACAAAAACGCATGGAATCACATTACTTGTCGCTCTTTGGGTCTTCTTTTTTGAGCCAGTCAAAACTGGAGCCAGTGGAAACTGGAATGGTTCTAAAGAGGACGGATTTGTCACAAGTGGACGGACTTGGAGCTTTGCGTTTATTGACTTCCTTCGTTTCACAGGCCCATCTTTGCCCTGCTTTTCACCCGATTCGCAGTCTGGCTCCCGGAATGCCGCTTGCTAAAGAGAAAGGTATGTCATTTGCTTTCGAGGTATGTCATTTGTGGCATGTCCAACGGCGACGTGTGCATATGGGGTGCCACAAATGCGCTCCCCACAGATCCTTGTGCTTGTGAAGGACCACATGCAGTTTTGAAGTTTCAATCATCTGAATAGTGTAGGCACGACTTGTGCACAAGCTGGAGGGCCACACAGCCCTGTTTCCCGCCTGCAGTAAAGCCTTGCGAACTTTGCACCCAGCTACTAGCGTAAGCCTTACCACTGCGCTACTAGGAACAAAGGGCATCGCTGCTAGGAGCAAGGACGCTACGGAGCGATGCCCTTTGTTACACGAAAGCCAGCTGATAGGCAAGAGTTGTTTAGCGAACGAAGTGAGGAGTGGGCGGGAGGGGGTGGCGGAGAGTGTGAAACAGTCTGGATTTTGCGGTTTTTGTGATGTCGATGATGCGCAACCTTGATGGATTGCATCATTTGCATTTTCAGTGCACTTGTAAGCAAGTTTATGGATGGCCAGCTGGATGGGTGGAGGGATAGATGAATAGAAGGGGAGAGAGATAGAGAGAGAGAGAGAGAGAAGCTGAGAAGCTGAGAATGATGGAGACATAGTAAGCTCAGTTTCTCAAAAAATCTAGGAGTCTAACAAGTCTGAGCTATCCTGCGTCCTAAGTAGAAGCTACTCATTCAGCTACTAGCTTCTGCCTCCCTCTACGGCCTGCCCCGGTGGGTGGATGGATGGACCGGGTGAGAGTGTCAGAAAGATAGCGAGACAGAGAGACCAGCCTCAAAAAATAGGGAGAGAGAGGCACGCAGAAAGACAGAGAGGTTGTTGAGTAGATGTGGCTAGATATAGAACGATTTTCAATCCGTCCGCGCCGAAGTTATGCTGGGTCGCGCAAACCGCTAGAATTGCTAGATAGCATAGCTTAAGCTTTAGCTGGAGTTTGTTTTTTAACGGACGAGAAAGCACGCCATCGGTGATGTCGATTATTCTGCCCGAGCGAGACTGCATTTTTGACATCCTGTGTGCTTGCCCCTGTCGAGCTCGACCGAGACCGACCGAGACAGACAGACATTCGGGTGGTGCCAGAAGCCAATATACTACTGGCACGCCGACTGCTAAACTAACCCAGATGTTCATTTCTTTCTTACTTGCACCTACCCCTCGTGTTTCCATGACCGTCCACACTTCTTCTGATGCTTTGAGCCCTGCGCCGCTCAGCACACCGCTTTCGCTTTCGTTGGAGACCCCAAGTTTCCGTGCGGGTGGCTTCGACCGCGAAGCGGTGTGAACAGATGTGGATAGATGAATGTGTGTAGAGTGCAGACAGGCCAATGGATGGGACGAATTGGTGGGCAGATAGGTGGCTGGATAGAAGGGGAGCGAAAGGTACAGAGATAACGAGATTGAGAGATTGAGAGCATTTGAGAGCTAGAGAATGGAAAGAATAGTTCTAAACCTTTTGGCGGCGACTGTTTGCTGGCCCTGTGTTTCTTCTCATCCCTTCTCGGGTTACTTGGCTTGCTACTAGAATGTTGCTACCCCTGCCGTTAAAGATTGTTGGGCATGCTTCATCCAAGGCCGACTAGGGCCTGCTTCAATCCAGCTCATGCACTGGTTGTCACGGCGGCTGAAACGCTGGTGGGAAGTGCACGAGTAAACTTTACATTTCCTTTTTTTGCAATTTATAGTTTTTTATTTCTTTTACTTTCCTTTTTGGACATCATTGGTGTCACAAGCGCTTTGATGCATCAGGCTTGGTGGATACCAGACACTGGTCCACCAGTGCCCCAGCAGCATGTTGTTGACCAAGGCTCATGAATTTCTTTCAATCTCACTGGACACATGCAGCCGAGGCAACTTGATCCACTGAGTGGGTCTCGCTCGACATTTGTTCATGTGATCAGTCTTAGGGTTACGCTCAGTGATGCAGCGGAAATGGCCGAAAATCTTGCTTGAGGCTAGTTGGATTGCCTAATCATCCTAGTCCAAGGGCTTTGCTGAATTTTTGCATTTGATCCTTGGGAGGCTGTGCCTAGATTGGTTCAAGCGAAACTCTCTACCACGCAGCACGCCTTCCTTTCTTCCGTTCTCACCGCGCAACTGTCCAAGGTCACTGATGCTTTGCAGGTTTGCACGATAGGTACTTTTCTCCAGAACCGCTCCGTTCCTCCGGAATGGCCAATTGATCCGAAGATGGAGTAGCGTGCGACCTTTTAGTTGTTGATTGTGGTGAGTGGCTGATGCACTGTGAAACTGCAACTTGGAGACGCCAGTAACGTTTTCCGTGGCAGGTATCTTTGGACCGAAATCGCAAACTTTTATGCGACTGGTGCCCCGCAACAATATTTGCTGCCAAGTGAGCACAGGCCGCTTGTAAAAGAAATGAAAGAACATCTCGAAGAAGCTTCTTCAAACATTTTGAAGCAGGCAGGTAGGAGGTGTGCTCACTTTCGGTGGCCTAGCTGCAGCGTAATGACAGAATCAAAAAAGATCAGAAGAAAGAAACAGAGGCACAAAAGGACGAACAGGTAAAGGAGATTCAATTTGCATTGAAGTCTCGAATCTCAAGGCAGTTGCTGTTGCTGTTGGTCTGCTGGTGTTCTTTCTGCGCTGCTTCTTTGCAGGAAGCATGCTTATGGGTCGCTTCGGGCGCCAGACTTGAGTCGCTGCTCCTTGCCAACCTGAGAACTGGGCCCTGCTGAACAATCTTCAACGAGCTAGTCAAAAAATCTTTGCATGCTGAACGCCCTTCGCTCAATCCTCAATGGTGGTGTATGAATGTATTTGATGCGGTGTAATTACAATTCAGCAAATTTGTGCTATTTGGGGGATGTGCAGATACAGATTGATGTGAGGTTTGGAGAAAGAACCACAAGCAGCCCATTGACGGCCGCCTGACTTGGGCCCTCTGACTTCTTGAAGGCGGAGGTTTGGGCTTCAGGGTGCTGACGAACCAGCCACGACCACCTGTAGGCGTTGCGGTCGCAACTACGAGGCGGCAGAGACAGCAAGGCAGTAGAACCGTTTGTGTCAAATGGTGAACCGTTTGTGAGAGATGCTGAGCATGAGCAGTAGAGATCCTGAAGCGTTTGTGGGAGTGCAAACTTTTATTGCCCAAGAAGGGTTCCCAGTTCCGTCGGTGCGGGGACCCAATGGAGGGCCTGCAAAGCGATTCTGGAACCGCATTTGCGGTAACTGTGCTCAGCGTGCTGGCAACAAGAGTTTCGCGGCTAAACTTGGTTTGCGTGTTTGATTGAGCACTCCGAACTGACGCTGAGAACACTTTGAGACAACTTGAGCAAAATGCAGACGTGCGTGCTCAAATATATGTATTACGTATAATTGCGAAAGAAGAGCTAGGATGACACGCACAACAAGAAGTGTACCGCACTGTCTAGGCCTTTCCAGCTCAGACCAAAAAGTCCGCATGGTAGCGGAGCCGGACGAGGATTTCATTAGATCTCCTCTGAGCTCCAGCGGACGAGGACAGGACCCGAATCCTCTCTAGCTCGGGCCCCCGTGTTTTCCTTGACCGCGCCGAGCCACCATAAACTGGTGTGGCAATCCTTGCTTGTGGCTACATCTTGAGGCCGGTCGAGGACACCTTGGATTACATCTTTGCCCTTTGCGTGGAGTTTGATTTGACCCTTGAGGAACCTTCTGACAGTCCTACTTCCTGACCACCGAGGCGGTTCCTGAATACCTGGTTGGGGAGAGTTTGCACTTTGAGCATGGACGGTTCCGGAGGCCAGGAGGTCTATGCCATGGCAGCTGGCATGCCAGAGCTCACTCAGGCTCTGATCACTGCAGCTCAATCTGCAGCCCAGGCACCGCAGCCAGCTCAACCAGCATCATCATCGGGCTCTGCTGAAGGGAGCAGCAGCGGAGTGCTGAAGAAGGATTTGGCCAAGCTCATCCCAATGCCTAGCTCGTTCTCTCCAGCTGATCGAGAACAAGAAGTTCTTCAATGGAGGGATTGGTACTGGAGCCTCAAAAAGTACCTTGTGGTTGTTGATGGCAACTTCCAAGAGGAGATCGAGCGCATTGAAGGCAACATGTCCAATGAAGTGGATTGGGATTTGATGAGCAAGCCAGAGCAGGAGAGAAGCCGATTTTTGTATAGCTTGCTTGGGCGCAAGGACGCCTCATTGGAGTGGTGAAGAACGTGGAAAGCTTTAATGGCTTTGAAGCTCTTCGTCAGATGCTGAGCAATTGTCAACCTCAGGCCCGCAATCGCACCATGAACCTCCTGCAAGGGATTATGGCATACCCTTCATTCAACACGAAAGGATCGCCTTTGCCCCACATCCTGAAACTTGAGGAGCACTTCTTGCAGTAGGAGCGGTTGGGAGGAAGCAAATTGCCCTCTGACATGAAGTCAGCAGTTCTCTTGAGAGCGGTCACTGGTCAGATGAAGGTGCATCTGAACCTCACGCTCAATGAGGGAAGCTCCTTTGCAAAGATTAGAGAAGCCATTTTGGCCTTTGATACTGCAACCACGAAGTGGAATGAGTCGGCAGCTTTGTCATTTACAAGTTCGAGCCCATTGCAATCCGCAAGTGATCAAGGAGGACCAATGCCGATGGAGATTGACCGGTTGCAGCAGAAGGGCAAGGACAAGGGCAAAGGCAAGGGTAAAGAGAACAAAGGAAAGAGCAAGGGCAAGGAGGACAAGGGCAAGCCTGATGGGCAAGAGCTTTTTGACACCAAGGATTGTTGGATTGTGAGACAGGTTGAAGCACTGCCAGCAGCAGTCAACAAACTACTTCATTGTCGACCACGGCAACCAGCATTACAAGTGGAGTGGATGCAAGCAAAGCAATCCGACGAGTTTCACAGCCCCTAGAGTGGCTCAATTCGAGTGGTGATAGCAGGATGGTGCTTCGAGAAATGTGGAATTTTTCCGCATGGATATTGGCGAGGAGGGTACAAAGATCCAGACCTATGGTCACAAGGACGTTGACATTGAAGGTAGTTTTTAGAGAGCGTTTGACCTCCTGCGATGTGGTGATCCAGCCCATTCTTTCTTCTGCCGCTGACCGAAGGTGGAAGATTGGCATCTGCTTGGGAAAGACAGATCTTCAAGACAACTGGATCATCGGTGACGGCAATCGAGTCTTCTTCAGCCGGTCTGTGAGAAGGGTGGCCAATATGAGCAAGGAGTACTTGGGCTGCTTCCAGAACTTCACGGCCGACAGTTGGGAGTATCAGCAGAACTTTGGTGGCAGAATTGTACCATCAAAGAGATTGGCATCCATGGTTGGCGCTCAGTTGAGTGTTCCCTTGCCAGAAGTTGCAGAGGATGATCATGATGCCAAGGAGGCGCTAGCTTTCAGCAGATCCTTTGCCGGGAAAGTTGAAGAAGCTCGGGATTTGGTCACCAAGGAAGCGGAGGTGAAAGAGAAGAAGGAGAAGGAGAAGGCAACCGAGCTGAAGCCTGATGAAATGGCTGAGGAAGCTCGCGTCCGAGAAGACAAGAGGAAGACCTATGAGGAGGAGCCAATTCCAGAATTGGTGCCCTTTGGAGTCGATGAGGACAGGAACCAGGCAGGGCCTTCGACGCCCAGGCCTGCTGCTCAGAAGATGCCTGCCCCTTCAGGTAGTCAAGAGCCAGATGGAAAGAAGTTGAAGCAGACAGTTGTGAAGCCGGTTCATGACCTTGAGGCAGAGTCACCAGCTTCGAAGAGGCTAAAAGGTGAGGATACAGTTGAGAGAAGGCTTGTTGGGATGACCCAAGTTGGTGAAGATGTTTTTTACCATTTGGGCCAAGCGGTGGGGCAGGAGGAGCTATAGGCCTATGAGTATGAAGTTCACGAATGCGAAGAGGAGGAGAAGCATGAAGTGCCAGAAGCTCTATGGTCGACCGCTCCATTGGATAGAATTCCACCTGATCCACCAAAGTGGATAGATGACTTGGCAGATGCGGTGGAGGAATGGCGATTGAAGAGGTTGGGAATCTTGGAGTCCATCGTGGAGTTGAAGGAAGACCACAAACTGCTGACTACCAGATTTGTGAGGGACTGGCGAATTAAGCCAAACCCCACCAAAGAGGGTTCAGCGAAGATGTTCCTGGAGGGCTAAACTTTGTGCTGGGAGCCCTGGATGTCAAGGATGCTTTCTTACAAGCGCCCCAGGAAGAACCGACGCAAGTGACCACAGCAGGAGGACACTTCCTGGTGAAGCGCCATTTGCCAGGACAGAGGATCGGTGCAGAGGCATGGTTTGAATATCTGACTGCATGGCTGAGGGGGAAAGACTTCATCTTCTGGCAGATCAATCCACGCTTCGGCCGTTTTGGAGACGAGGCGTTGCTGCTATTCACTTATGAACTCTTAGACAGTGGCCTGAAGATCATGCCGGGAAAGTATGCGGAGACGAGGATCGAAAGCTGTGAAGCCACACTTGGCAAGGCAAAGATTCAAAAGCTGCCATGTACTCAGGAGATGCTTGAACCTGATCTGACGACGCTACTAGATCCCCAACTGGAAATCTTATTTAGGTCTGTGGTTGCTTTCACAGGAACGTCGAGATGTGGCCTTCGCGATCAAAGAGTTGGCAGGGTCTATGTCAAACCCTACAACAGACAGTCTTCGCAAGCTCAGCAGGTTGATTGGTTGTTTGAAAGACACTTTGGGCCAGTACACCATACTAGAAATGCCTGAGCCAGGAAGAGGGCTCGTGGTCAAGACCCTCAAGACCAGATGGTTACTGGAGACGTTCAGTGACAGTGGCTGGTCAGGTTCAAAGAGCACGAGAAGGTCGACTTTTTCAGCTATCCACATGGTGAATGGGGTTGCGGTGATGACAAGTTCAAGAGGCCAGAAATCAGTGAGCCTTTCTTCAGCAGAAGCCGAGCTGAATGCTTTGGTCTCAGCAGCAGCGGATGGCGTCTATGTAAAGCGGCGCCTCGAGTTTCTGGTTGACGAAATGGTTGGGCATGATTGTCTGGTGGACAATTCAGCTGCAGTCCATGTCAGCCACAAAAGAGGACCAGGAAAGTTGCGACGCATTGATGGCAAGCTGCTGTGGATTCAAAATATGGTAGCGCAGAAGATCTTGAATGTCAAGCCAATTGGAACAGTCTACAGTGTCGCTGACCTAGCCACGAAACCACTCACCAAGACAAGAATCAACTTGATCTTCTATTGGTGCAACACCTACGACGGCCAAGGAAGACGAATTGGTCAAGATGAGCGCGACAGACTAGATGCTTTTGGAAGGCCTTGAGCATGTGGCTGCCGAACGAATTCAGAAGGAGAGCGAGGACATTTCATCAGCAGGCATCAGCTGGATGATGCTCTGGATAGTGGCGCTCACCATGACTGTCACTGGTCTGTGCATTGTCATCTACCGGTTGTGGAAGAAGGTGAAGGTGATTGAAGATGAGCTGATAGAGATCAAGGACAATGCCAAGACGGATGGAATGATGATTGGAGCCTATGGTCATGAAGCCCAGGAAGGCATCAGGGGGGTGAGAAACTATGTGCAGCGAGTTCGCAAGGGCTTGATCAAGGCATCTGGCTACATCGACCCAGAAGATGTGGAGCCATGCGAATGGCTTTACTGGGGTTACATCCAAAGATCCAACAAAGACTTTGACTTGAGGAGGCTTGATGATCAATTGCAGGCCTACAAAGAAGAAGAAGAAGCAAACCGAAATCGATCCAAGACAAGAATCCGACTTCCAAGTGGACAACGCGTGGAAGAAGAGGGAGAAGAAAGCAAGGAATTGCAGTCAGGAGAGATGGCTTTGGTTCAGTTGGACTCAGGTGAGATTGTGAACATTCCGGTAGAATATATACAGCCAAGAGAACCAGAAAGTGAGGCTGAGGGTGAAGACATGGAAGTGGAAACAAACCCTCATGATCGACGTGATGACACCGACGTGAACCAGAGTTGGCAGAACGATCCAACTATGAGTCAGGCAACAAGTGGTAGCATTCGAGAGGGGCAGATCTGGAGCTTGAAAAGCTTGGATCAACCGAAGCAACGTGCTAGCTTAGAGCTCGACAGCGCCTCCTGCACCTTGAAAAGGAATGGTGGGGAGCGAGTTCACGAGATGATGTTGAGCTCAGATATGCGCCATCCATTTCTAGACTGCCCCGGATTTCCTGACTCAAGGTCATGGAAAGGCGCGCCCTAGCTCTTCTCCGTCCATGAAGGAGGAGTGCGAAAGAACAGCTAGGATGACAAGTGTAACGAACTGTCTAGGCCTTCCGAGCTCAAAAAGTCAACAACAACAACAACTCTATCTATCTATCTATCTATCTATCTATCTATCTCTCTCTGTCTGTCTGTCTGTCTGTCTATCTAACCCTATCTATCTATGTATCTTATCTTATCTATCTGTCTATCTAATCTAATCCAATCTACTCTAATCTAACTTAATCTTACCTTATTTTATCCTATCTATCTATCTATCTCTCTGTCTGTCTGTCTGTCTGTCTGTCTGTCTGTCTGTCTGTCTGTCTGTCTCTCTATATACAGACTATCGGTTTTGGGTTGGAGGCCACTGCGTATCATGTATATATTACGCAAAATACCTGTGAGAAGCATGTCGTGAGTAGCATGTCGTTTGTGAGCGCAACACCGGCGCCAGGTTTGGTTCTGGGACTTTCACCAAGAAATACCGTTTGCCTGTGGCGTCTTGCGATCGAGCCTTGTGCGCCCTGATGACTTTGGCAATTTGGAGTCTTGGCCCAAAGGACACCAAAACCAGCTTCATTACTTGGCCGGCGCTTGTTTTGAGCAATAAGCAATTGTCAATTGTGTTTTGCGGTTGTGAAAGTCGCTTTAACTTGACTCTGGCGTGGCTTACCAAGCACTGGAGGCAGAGGTGAACGTTCGAGTGGTTGAAGGGCGAGCGACATATTTCAAAGCAATCACTACCTTCTGGGGCCTCACAAGTGATTTACTGCTGTGCCTGTTTCCCTTTACACGAACAATGGCCACGTCCTTGATGGCGCCAGATTTCTGGTGCTGTGTCGTTGCTACAGTCGTGCTCCGTCTTTGTGCGTTGCCATCAGTTGACTTACAGCAGAAGGATGTGGAGACCGTCATTCTGTTTCTCAACGCCTTATGTGTTGGGATAGGACCAAGGTCACAAACTTGCTTCCTTGATTTGTTTTGTTTCACAACTTCAGGTGTGTGCACGGAACACAAACAGAGTACGACGTTCAAGAAACTCTTGTTGTTCAATGCCTTATTTGTAGTTCAAAGGTTCAAGAGCATCTTCCCATGTGTTGTTGGTTAAAGGATTCCTTCGGAGGTCTGAAATATCCTGCGTAAGATTTTATAAGGGCTTGCTGAAAGTCTAACATGTTTGGCTGTTTTTAGTGATCCTTCACGTAATAATGGTTTGTGATCTTACATGTTCTCCGTAGCCATTTTGGCTCAAGAGTACTTCAATGTTCAGCTTGGCAGTTACCACCTGCGAACGGTGAATCTGCCATGCTGAATGTCGATACATGACAGCGCGCTTCATGTACACATATGGTTGGCACATTTTTAGATTGCTTGATGTTCTTTTTGTTGGCACTTTGAGCTTGCTTCAAACACTTTAGTACTTACCATTCACGTACATCAACCGCAGCTCATTTCACGCAATGGAAGTTCCTTTCAAGGTGAAGCGCTATCGGGGCCCTCAGTCTTCGCCTCCGCGGCCGAAAGCTTTGAGCTGCGCGCCTCCACACACTCGAGAATTGGCCCCACATAGAATAGACGGTTTGCCTACGAGCTTTTCTGAGAGCCCATCCCCATTTCTAGCTCCTCAGATTTCGCCACGAAGGGTTCAGTTGTTTCATCACTTTGAACCTCTTCCAAAGCCAACATTTAGGACTGAACGTCGAAGTCAGCCTTATCCATCGACTTGTACTCCAGAACTTGTCAATGATGTTGGTTCATCTTCGAGTTCTTTTATTCCCGCCCCTGTGCCCGCATCGATACCTTCAGGTTCACGACTCAAGCACGCCAGTTCGAGTCCTCAGATTGTCGCACAACAGCAACTGGAGTCAAATCAGCGAAAACTTGCTGAATCCCTGTTCGAACAAGTTTGTAAACTTTGTCATTCTTACAGTGATCTTCTTTCAAGCAATCAGTCACTCAGCTTTCGCCGAGACTTGATTTCTTTGCTCGTTCGTAAGTATAGTCCCAGCGCAATCAAACGTTATTGTATTTCCTTCTTGAATTTAGCTCGGTGGCTTTTTGATCTTGATTTGGAGTTGCAAACATGTTCCACTGTCGATTTAGTCGATACGCTTCGATTGATGCATTCAGAGTGGTCAGAAACTGACCCGGACTCAGATGAGCTGCAGTTGTCACCATTGATTAGTCTCAACACGCTCCAAGCGCTTCGTTGGGTTTCAAACGTCCTTCAATTTTAAAAATCCTGGACTTGTATTCACCCATCTTTAGCAATCTTTCTTTTTCATCAAAAGAAACGCATGAGAGCTTTCCGCTGCTCTTGTATGTAGTCCACGATTTGGAACTTTCACTAATGGAAGGCCATAACTCGCTTCAAGAACGAGTCTTCAAAGGTTCCTTTCTTGTGTGCATTTGGGCATCCCTTCGTTTCAATGATGCTCAACACGTATTCTGGGATAAACTGATTTTAGACAACGCCTCTCTGCGCGCTGCATGCTTTCAAGCCAAATCCAGTAAATCTGGATACCCGTTTGCAGTTCAATGCCTCGGTCTACTTTCTGAAGTTCCCCAATCTAGTTGGTTGTTGAAATGGCTTGAAGCTTTGAATGACGTTTGGGATGCTTCTGTAAAAAAGTATGGACCCTTGTTCATTCCAGATCACCTCTTTCCCAAACTTGACGGCTCAGGTGCCATTTTGGAACCGATGTCATATGCTCAGACCATCGCCTTTCTCAGACGTTATCTCAGTCAGATTGAAAGCCTTCATGATTGTGCCATTGGATATACCCTTCATTCTGCCAAAGCCACATTGTTGTCATGGGCTTGTCAATTGAATCTAGATTCAGAAAGTCGTGCTTTGCAAGGCCACCGCAAATCATCTTTAAATAGCAGTGTAAACCTGTATGGAAGAGATTCGGTCCATGCTCCGCTTCAATTGCAAACCGACGTACGCACCCAGATCATTCATGGTGGATTTCGTCCATCCACCCCGTTGCATCGGGGTGCCCAGTGTCCGGCGGTGGAACCTGCAGTAACACTCATGTATAAAAGCCAGCCTTTCGAGCTCTCTTCGATGAATTTGCATCGATTCAGGGTTTTCCTTCTAGAGAGTCCTGTGGACACCCCTGTGCCAAATCATATCCCTGCGTCAGAGCTTGCCGAATCTCCCTTGTTTGTAGTCACTCCCAAGATCGTGCATTTTTCTTCTTGGACCGTCCAACACGGCTTGGAATTTCGAGGCAGCAGATTCCGGCCGAAATGCGGTGCTCCGATTGTTCCGGACGCTGAGGTGTCACAAGAACTCCCTAAGGAAGTACGCAAAGCCTGTCTTACAGCCCTCCATGCATTCGTGCCCGATTGAATGCAAAAAGAATGAAAAGACGAACATGTAGGAAATAATCCAATTATTTCGAACATTTTGCTTCAGAAATCCGCGTATTTTCAGTCGATCGCACCCCAGTCCGCAATATTAGTAGCAGGACTGCAGTTATCTAGACTTGAGTTTAATCTTTGGTTCATTCATATCTTCTCGCTTGCATCTTGAAACTGCATTCTTTCCAAGCACAGTTCATTAGTTTCAAGGGTAAGACGCACCTTTCAGCCACCATGGAGTTCCTCGCAGTGCTTCTTGCTTTTTGTGCCACGCCCGACGGGGTTCACCCCAATCCAACAGCGTGAGAATCCTGCAGGTCGATCTTGCACGCCTCCGGTGTATCCCATACGACCCAACCTGTGGGGGACCTTTGGTGCGCCTTGACCTCGCTTCAGGCCTACATCAACCACTTCGGGATGACATACGTGGCAGCCCAAGCCCAATCGCTTGACATTCCGCTTCGCTCGAGCGCACAGGCCACACCCCCGGCACCTTTGTGGGCAAGCTGGCAAGAACCCAATATCTTGGTTCTTTCAGCGGAGCTCTCCTCCTCGATTGGCGTCCTGAGAGAGCTGCAATTGGTGGACGAACACACCCTTTTTGGAGTCAGCCCTTTTAGTGCTCCTTTCGGTTCGAGGATACCTTACTCCTCCAATTGACCAGGGCATGTAACAAGACAAGACCCTTTATTTTCCAACTAATCGGAAGCATTTGCCTTCCGGAGTTGACCAGCTTGGTCGGCAGATGGCTCGAAAAGTCATCGCGTTTGCAGTCAATGGAGGTGAATCAATTTGATTTACCCGAAATCGGAATTGCTCGCGTTTGATCATTGCAGTTGACAATGACTCACTTGACTCAATCAACGATTGATCGCTTTTGGGCTCTTTTGCCAATCCGCTCCTTCCACCAGTTGTGTGGAACTCAGTCGTGCGTTGTCGACCACTTGAATCAGCTTGATTCCTTCTTTTTACATCATCTAAATCAGACCTACATAGGTTAAACTAGACGACGAGTGGCCCGAAAGCATTTTTCATCACGTAGGAAGTCAGAGTGTGAGTTATCTGTTAAGTGTTCAGTGTGAAATGTTAAGTCGAGTGAGTTGAGGCAGTGTGTGGGTCCCTGTGTGTGTATGAGTCTCTGTCTGTGTGTGTGTCCGAGTAAGTTGAGGCAGTGCGTGGGTCTCTGTGTGTGTGTGTCAACCTCTCAAGAGAGCCGGGTGGTCGGGAGACATGACTCAGCTGCAGGGGCGCCAGAGCAGCCGCGACAAAGTCGCCAGTTCTCAGCTTCCAGCTCCACAGATTGCTCCGCGTACTAAAGTTGTACTACAAAGTCGCCAGTTCTCATCTTCCAGCTCCCCAGATACTCCGCGTGCTAAAGTTGTACTACAAATTCGCAAGTTCTCATCTTCCAGCTCTCCAGATACTCCGCGTACTAAAGTTGTACTACAAAGTCGCCAGTTCTCAGCTTCCAGCTCCACAGATTGCTCCGCGTACTACAGTTGTACTACAAAGTCGCCAGTTCTCATCTTCCAGCTCCCCAGATATACTCCGCGTACTAAAGTTGTACTACAACTTCGCCAGTTCTCATCTTCCAGCTCCCCAGATACTCCGCGTACTAAAGTTGTACTACAAAGTCGCCAGTTCTCATCTTCCAGCTCGTCAGATACTCCGCGTACTAAAGTTGTACTACAAAGTCGCCAGTTCTCAGCTTCCAGCTCCCCAGATACTCCGCGTACTAAAGTAGTACTAGAAAGTCGCCAGCGCCTGCGTTTCGCGCACTCGACACGCACGATCTCCGCAGAGGGTTGCGCGCACACCGGACAAATCGCATTCTCGCCTGCGTGCACGATCTCCGCAGAGGGTTGCGCACGGACCGCGCCAATCGCACTCTCGCCTGCATTTCGCGCACTCGACACGCACGATCTCTGCAGAGGGTTGCGCGCAGAGGGTTGCGCGCGGACCGGACAAATCGCACTCTCGCCTGCATTTCGCGCACTCGACACACACGATCTCCGCAGAGGGTTGCGCGCACATACGCCAAATCGCACTCTCGCCTGCATTTCGCGCACTCGACACGCGCGATCTCCGCAGAGGGTTGCGCGCGCACAGACACAATCGCACTCTCGCCTGCGTTTCGCGCACTCGACACGCGCGATCTCCGCAGAGGGTTGCGCGCATACGACAAATCGCACTCTCGCCTGCATTTCGCGCACTCGACGCGCGCGATCTCCGCAGAGGGTTGCGCGCACATACGGCAAATCGGACTCTCGCCTGCATTTCGCGCACTTGACACGCACGATCTCCGCAGAGGGTTGCGTTTTCGGTTGACGCTGTTCGTCCCACCCTCCGCCTTTAAGAGAGAATTTATAAAGTGGGGAAATGTTTTTGATTAGGACATCTCCCGTGCAAGTTTTCCATACTCATACTTGCGTACTTGCACTGGGATTGCGCTGGGATACTTGCATACTTTTGCACATGGATACTTACACTTGCATACTTACCCTTGGATGCTTTTTACCCTTACACTGGGATACGTACAGACGTGTATGTGTTCAAGTGTCAGTGTGGAAGCGTCAGTGTTCAAGTGTAAGTGTAGAAATGTCAGCGTTCAAGTGCAAGTGTGGAAGTGTCATTGTGTAAGTGTAAGTGTCGAAGTGTCAGTGTTCAAGGGATTTTCCGGAAGAACCCCTTCTCATCATTGTGTAAATTCCCCATGGCTCGCTCATCATTCGCGGATTTGTTGCACGAACTTCGAATCCCAGATGCAGTCCAACAAGCACTGCTGGACGAGCAACATGACCTGGAAACGTTTGGTCTACTAGCCTTGTCATTGACCGAATTGGTTTCCGCATTGGATTCCATGGGCTTGGACATCGCCCCTAGAGTTCGCTCTTCGCTTCGTGTTTTGTGGACGCGTTGCCAGCCAGCGGCTGCTTCAGGTTTTTTGGCCCATGCATCGTCCATCCCAACATCAGGTGATAGCCTAGACCTTTCTTCAGGTTCTCGCGCAAGTTCATCATGGAATGAACCATTTCCCGCTAAGCTCAGCCCGGATCTCATTCGGTAATTGCGAGACAACTTTGAGCGTCAATACCCAGGTCAACTCTTGGACCCCGATCTCATGCCATCCAGTCGTACGCTGGCTTTGACTTACCAGCAGCTTCAGCGGAAAGAATGGAAATGGATTGCATATAGGCTTAGCGCCAAACTCCAGGACGAATCTAGAATGGTTCGAGCTCGCAAAGCCGCTCGCGCGGACCTTTCAGCCCTCTCAGACCTCTTGATCGATGACGTCCCCGTTCGAGACATCCCTCAATCCAACATTGGACTTCAACAATTGTCCCAACTGTTGCACCTGCAGGCGACGGCAGTGGCGTTTTGTCGGGGAGCACATTTGTCGACTCTCAAGAAGTATGTTCACCGCTTTTTATCCCATGCTAGTCAACGCTTCGATTCCGAGAGTGGTCTACGCCCCCCCAAACGTTTCCGAATTGCAATTGGCTGATCAAGTCCCTTGGGGAAAAATTGATGAGCCCTCGATGATGCAATTCACGAACTCGTCGAAATTCGATCGGATATGGCCTCATTACTTCAGCCCCGCCCATTCGTGCCTCGTGTGAGCCTCAAGGGAAAAGGCAAGAGCAGCGGTGAAGGAGGTAGCAAATCTTCGTCCAAAGGCTCAGGCAAAGCCAACATGTCTTTAAATCGTCCCGCCTGGGGCACTGAAGTGATTCGTGAGGGTCAAAAGAAGACCATTTGCCTTAAGTATCAGCAGCGGATGTGCTCCAATCCTAAAGCTTGTAAGTATGAACATGTGTGCGCTGTGTTGAAGAATGATGGTACAGTTTGCGGCCAAAAGCATAGCGCCATGTATCACCGATCCGCCCCGTTTTGATGGGGCCCAGCGTGTTCCGAAGGGGACGCAGACACGTCTAGGGTCTCACCGCCTGTCCCTACCTGTACTGCCGAAGAGCAACCCTCAGCCTCCCAGCAAAGCCCAATCTCCGTTTCACCGACGCTAGGCCCAGGTTCTCATTTGATCGCGCCAGGGCCTCATTTGTTTTTGGACATCTGCAGTGGAGCTCTAGCAATTTTGCACAGCGCTGGAAAGACTCAACCGAGCTACTCTGCCTATCGATATTTTGGTATCGCCCGAAATGGATCTTCTCAACGATTTCTTTTTCGAAGATTTGTTGCGCATTTGTGCTTCAGGTCTAGTTTCATACTGTGGGGCCAGCCCACCTTGTAGCGAGTTCTCTTTGTTGAAGCTTCGACAACCTGGCCCCACACCAGTTCGCACCTATGAATTTCCGCTGGGTATCCCTGACCCCGATCCCCAAGAGCAACAGCGTCTGTACCAGAGTCGCGAGCTTTTGCATCGAGCCGCGCATTGTTTACAACATGTCCATGCGGCGGGTGGCCATGGACATCTTGAAGCCCCACCAAATGCCTTCACGTGGTATGATCCGGTGGTGAAATCCTGCTTGCATCAAAAGCAATGCCAATGTGTAGTCTTTGCGGCTTGTTCTTTCGGCTTGGACCTTTCCAAACATTGGATGTTCGCACGTAGTCATGATTGGTTCTGTGACCTCTGTAGTCACTGTTCTCACTCCACTCATTAGCCGTATGCAGGTATGCAAGATGCTTCGGGCGCATACCTCAGCCGGCGAACAGCGGAATATCCATCCGATCTTGCCCAAGCCATCGCACATCGACTGAGTTCTCGAATCGGTCCACGGATCCCACAATTAAGCCTGGATTTAGCCCTTTCCATGGAGTTTCCCACCTAATGTCGGTGATTCCTTCAAGTCCTTGCGAGACTGCTGGATCCCCATGATCCTCGAACAAGGTCTTCACAAGGAGTTCATTGCTCACATGGAGCAACAAAAGCCCAATCCCCCGTTCTCCGAAGAGTGCATCAGCAGCTTTCGAGATTCTTTCTCCGCATGGCTTCCAGTGGATTGGTCAGTACGGCCTGACCAACCTATGTGTTTGGCAGCGCTGCAAACCCTCAGTCACAAGCTCCAAGACCCGGTCAGGTGTTTTCCTGTCTAATCGCAGGAGTGTCGGCCGGCGCCTCGGATGATCCGATCTTGCCCAGCAATGTGTTCTGGGAAAAAAGATACAATCCCCGATTCTGACATCCCCGCTCTTCAAATCCATCGAGGGACCTAGTGAGGATTATCCCGACCTTACAGCGGAACTCATTCAGAATGAGCTTGACCAGGGTTGGCTTTTTGAGTTCACCGGGGATGAAGCTGACGCCCAACAACGATACCCTCATGGGGTTGGCCTAGGTAAACTTGGAATAGCCTTTTCCGACTCTCGCCCCCCCCCCCCACGCTTAGTCCTGGACAGTAGTGTATGTAACGCTAATCAGAACTGTTGGATTCCCGAGCGCCAGTGCTATCCCTCGGTTCGTGATGTCGTTGAGAGTTTCCCACTACGGCATTGTTCGGAGCCTCATGCAGCATGCCGCCGCGTTTGACGTCAAGTCCGCGCGCAAAAGAATTGTCTCAGCTGAACACCATCAAGGCGTCGTAGGATTCACTTTCAGAGGAAAGATTTTCTTCTACCGGGTTTGCCCATTTGGCGCCGCATTTAGTGCCTTTTGGTGGGGTCGTTTAGGTGCTTGGCTAGTACGCGCGTTTCATCGCCTGATTTGGATTCAACACGGCCTTTGGCTGTTCGTGGATGATTTCTTGTTGACTCAACCCAAACATGTCCTTCCCTTGTTCGCAGCCTTGTTGGCAATCTTTTGTCGGGTCTTTCGCCTCCCTCTCAGTTGGCATAAATGCACGCTTGGACCAATGGTTGATTGGATAGGATGGCGCTTTAACTTTTTCAATGGCATTGCAAGTCTGCGCCCAGATAAACAGGACAAGCTGATCACACAGATCGAAGAACTGCTTAAACATCGCCAGTACAACTTGCAAACAACTGGAAAAGTTTACAGGGTTGGCACTTTGGGTAACACATCTTTTCCTGCCATTTCGTGCGTTGTTGCGCTGGCTGTTTTCTGATCTGTATTGTTGCCCAGCAACCCACTACAGTGTGAATCCAGGATATTGGACCCTAGTCAAATCATTCCGGCCAGTTCAAAGTTGGTTTCTGTTCGACACACGCCAGTCCAAACACTGCAGGAAGTTGAATCAGTACGATTGACTGATCGTAGATTATGGCTTCGAATTATCAATCCCAAAGCCCAACAAAGAAAGCTTTCTGTTCATAGCCGACGTGTTCTAAAACTGTGGTTAGATTGGTTGAAAATCTCACCCCCGCTCCGAAGTACCCGACCTGCGCTTCAGGTTTCCATTCGTGCATCCGCTGATGCCTCAGCCCAAGGGGACTCTTTTCAAGTCGGTGGTCTCATCGAGTCTGAATCCACCGTCTTTTGGTTTGCCGAAAAATGGACAGTGCTAGATGTAAAGTCCTTCGACGTCCCAATTCGACCAGATGCACAGCGAGACATCGCTTGCTACGAAACTCTGGCGCAAGGTTTCCTTGTTCTTTTATGCTTAGCTATTTGCACCACAACATGTGTTCCCCTCCATTTTCAGAGCCTCAGTGATGATGTTGCTGCCGAAGCTTCCGGCAATAAACTCTTCACGACGTCCGCTCCGCTCTGTTACGTTGTTGAGCTTTTAGCTTCCATTCTAGTCTCTGAGCGTATCAGTTGCGACATCTCACACATTCCCGGTTCCTCGAATCAAGATGCAGACTTGCTTAGTCGCTGGGATCTAGAATCCGAACTTTCATCCCGTTTCGCCGCTACGCATAGGCATCGCATGAGCCTGGAAGGCTTCTTTCGGTTTCGCTGCTCGGTTAGGGTTCATCCCATGCAGTGGCCCATCGGCCGCGTCTGACATCATTTTTGCTGCCAACAGCCACTCAGAGCCTTTTGGGGTTTTCTGTCCGAGTGTTGTTGGAAAAGCTTTTGGTGTGATATCCCAACAACTCTCGATAAATGCTGGCAGTGAAAATGAAGAGCGCGACCAATTTTGGAGAGCTGCATTCATCCTTGTGTTTGAACATTGTAAGTATCTCTAGAACTTTTTTAGTGATCCTTCACATACTGTTTTGTGATCTTACATGTTCTACGTGCCATTTTGGTTTTAGAGTACTTCAATGTTCAGCCCCTCCCTCCACAACCCTTTGTTGCATCTCTCCAATCAAATCTAGCAGACGCAGAACGGTCCAAAGGACACGCAGAGATGAGCCGAACCGCTCCGCACATCTCAAAGCCTAGAGCACACATCCTAAGGATGTGACCTCGCTCATGGTCAAAACGACCAAACCGCATTCACTCCAAAGACATGAGTAATGGGATGGTGTGATATCCCAACAACTCTCGATAAATGCTGGCACTGAAAATGAAGAGCGCGATGAATTTTGGAGAGCTGCATTCGCCCTTGTGTTTGAACATTGTAAGTATCTCTAGAACAGCTGTAGTCTACTCGAGGTAAACTTTATTCAAGAACAATCCCCAAACGCACGGTTTCAGATGACAATTTTTCCCGGATGGGCACAGGGCAGCCCGTTGTTTTTTATTTGTAACTAAATTTCTTCTGTAGTTTTTGGGTTTGTTACCTTGCCACTTCAAGACTTCATGACAAAAACACAAGGACCTTTGTACACACATAGGTCCAAGCTGCACAACATCGACATTCATCTATATACTTTGTTTGCTTGAATAGTGTCCTAGGTCCTAGAGTAAAATCAATCATGAAACACAACTGCAATCGCGACCTTTGTCTCCCAATTGGACATGTTGTGTGCAGATCCACTCTGAAACAGCCGCATCGGAAGATTTTTCAAACTACCAGACTGATCAGAAATATATAATTGGAACGGCCGTGCAAAGTTTCGCTTTCCAGGATATGGTATACCGCCGGAGCTGATCCCCGCACTTTGCGCCGGGAGATTGCTTCTTGCCTTGATGTTTCTAAATCCAGTTCATGCTCTCTGGACCAACTTGGCTTTATCTCCATTCTACATCAGCATTGCGGTCTCCTTGAATCCGGGTGGGTCGGTAACTGCAACGATTTTCAACGAATTGTTTCTTATTGCACAGCTGACACTGGTTTGCGTGTATGTTGATGTAAATGTGAAGAAGGCGGAGGCCAGTACAATATCAATGGAAACGAAGACCAAAGAAGCTCACACAAGCGTGGCTGCTGCATGCCGGCTTTTGAGTGTGACATGCGACTCTTTTGTTCAGCTCACCGCAGATTTACGGATAAAAGATCCACAGCGATCCTTTCTGGAACTTCTAGCAGGGGACTACAACTTGGAAGGAGCTTCAATGATTGATTTGATCAGTCCAGCTGATCGAAACCGGTTCCTTGATGTGATCTCAGAGTCTGACGAGAATTCTCGAGACGGGAATTCAGTCGACCTTCCTGCTCGATCTTTGTCTTTGCAGCTACTGGATACGCTCGGTACGACCTTGGAAGCGCGGCTCTACTTTGTCCAGATTCCAAGCACTGATTCTTCGGAAACACGTGCGGAACACTTGATCGGGATCACTGAGATTGTCAGCAATCAGGCATGCCGAGACCGTTTGGAGACCAACTTGTTAAAGGAGTGGATTGGTCTTTAAGGCCATCGCTACTAGGGAGGCCATCGCTATTAGGTTGATTTGGCAAAGTCAACGTGATCCTCTCTCTGATCAAACCTACTTCCAATCAGAAAGTATATAATCATAGGTCCTAAATCCTGGAGAGGATCCTTTGGATTTTCTTTATAATTGTAAATGATATTTTTATAAGTGAATGCCTTTGGGTCTTTGGGTGAAAGTCGGACTTGTCTCCTGCCGTTGAAAAACTGGATGGATGTTGTATGTTGTCCACTGATTGTTTTGAGGTGACATTGAGATTGCTTCAGCTAGGTGTCTCGCATCCAGAGACAAATACTTCAGACTGACCCTCGAAGCCCTCTCGAAGCCCTGTACGACTGGGGGGGTCACAGCCCACACCCCACGCTCGCACCGGCGTTCGCCCCGAAGCGGCCGAAGCGTGCGGATGGGACCGAGCATCAGTGCGACCACTTACTTTTGCGAACTCCGAATGAACACGTTCGCCTGCATCCTTGCGCAAGCCTTGTGCCAGCATGAGACATGTGACTTTAACATTGCATGTATTTTGCATGTCACCAGTTCCGTTTTTTCTTGCGGTAGATTCACACGACGTGAGGAAAGTACACCACTAAATGGAAGTGCAAAAACTCGCGACGCGCTCAGCATACTAGGTATCTCTTGTGGGCTAACATCTGCAAAGGCTGTGCGACAACCTCCTCGCGCTTGTGTCTCTCTAAGCGGGTGGGACGCCAAAATGACATTCACTATTTAAACAACCTGTCCAGTTCGAACAGGAATGGATTCTTGTTTCTTTCAGGATGCAGTTGTTTCTGCGTAGTTTTGTAGATATGGTAGATGATGTCTTTGATTTTTGGTACGGCTAAATCTGGAAACCTGCATTCTGAAAAGGCCCTCAAACCGTTTGCTTTCCGAGAGCAGCGCGAGCGACAAGCCGTTTCAGCCTCACACGATCTATGGTGCCAAGTTGCAAAGAAACGCAGATCGTGTGAAAAGGAGTCACAGCAACTTTAAACCCGCAACAGCCGAAATCAGCAATTGAACCATGCTAGCATGCGGACTCGTGTCCCATTCTGTGCCCCCAAACCTCTGATTCCAAGCTGTGCATCAAACAACCGCAACGACTCTCTCGTGGAAATTGTGTTGCGACATTGCCGCCCGCGCGCGAGGTGGTCGCCAGTCGCGCTGGCTCAAGGGCTGACACTGAAGATATGAGGCTGGCATCGATCGACATTTCAGATGTTTTCAAGTCTTTCGCGCCTTTGCCTTTCGCACAAATATCTAAAAAAGGAAAGGAAGACAAGTCTAAAGAATGTCTAAAGAAGAACAGACAAACATAACGAAAGAAGAGGGGAAGAATGGTCTAGCTAAAAAAGGGAAACAGAAAGAAAGAGGTTGAGGGAATTGATGCTTTTCTACAATTCCAACGTTTTTGGTGAATTCATCATGAAGCACAGCATCAATGCCTTGATTGTTGATCAGCGCAGCATGCCCTTGAGGTTTTTGCTGGGGTCCAGGGTACCTCAGGAGCCCTGCATTCAGAGCATCTTTTGTGCGCTACTTTAGGGGAGCCATAGAGTATGGTCCATGAACGGTTTGGACACTTCCATGTCAAGAGCCGAATATCAGCAGGTACAAGCTGGAAGTGTCCAGGTTCAGACTGCAAGAGTAGCTTCCAGAGTTTTTCTAGCGAGGTTCCGAAGATGAACTGTGTAAAGCAAGGTGAGAAAGATCCCCTTGGTTCGGTGGCATTTGCATCATTTGAGTTGTTTCGAATCCATGTGGCCATTTCCGTTTGCATTTGATAGCCGGTCTGAACCGCGAGAAGGCGCTGCAAGAGCATTAGATGTCTCAGCACGACTCCGGCCTGCCAATGCGGAAGCAGAGCATGACCCCAGCAAGGACGACAGCACAAACCGAGAAGCAACCTCAGGAGTTTTCAGGTTTCACAAGCATGACACTTTTCGTTCTTTGTTGCGGTAAAATAGGCGCTGCTGCCAGTTGGGCACTTTCGCACTGGTAGCGGAGCCGGTAATACACCGGCTCCAGCTGCGTTGGCCATGGCGAATCGAGATGATTCTGGCTACAAAGGCCTGTACCGAGACGACGAAGTGGTCGTTGACAAGGACGGAGTGCCGCATTACAGCGGCGCAGATCCTGGCCTGATGAAGGAATATCGCCGAAGAGTCCTTTTTGCATAATATGCCAATCTGGAAGGCGATGGAAAAGATGCCCAAGAAGAAGCCCGAGATCTAGCAAAGAAGCAACAGCGATTTGCCAAGAAGCTGTTGGACGCCCTGCATGGCGAGGCCTGGCGATGTTGTCAGGTGTTGATCGAAGACATTGACAAGTTGCGAGAGAAAGATGGTTACAAGCATGTGTTCAAATGCTTGCAGAGCATTGAGAAGGTGACCGTGATCAAGAAGACCGAAGCATTTGACACCTTCTTCGAGAAGTGCCATCGTCGCAAAGGTCAGAGCATTGATGCATTTCTTCGTATGCAGTCCCAGGCATGGTCAGATTTGCAAGATCTCACAGATGGCAGTACGACAATGTCAGAAGACCTTCGCACCTACTTCCTCCTCAAGCATGTTGGATTGTCGAAAGATGACCGAAGGCAGACTTTGTTATCGAATCAGTCCAACTACACCATGGAGGGTGTTGAGCAGGCATTGCGTGTGTCGTACTATGATGTGCATGAGCGCGAGAAGTCGCGCAACCATCGTGATTGGGGCAACCACCAGCGTGGACATCAGAGTTACAAGAAGAAGCGCTATGCCCATGCAGTCACGGAGGAGCCCGACATCCCTGAGGATTGTGAGCAGTATGAGACCGCGTCGGAGACCACGATTGAAGATACCGTCGCAGTGGAGGACTATGAGGAAGAGGGGCCCGGTGAGGCCAATTCCGATGCTGGAGCCTCAGGTGATGATGAAGTTTTCGAGGCCTATGCGGCCATGGATCGGCAGCGCAAGTCCTACAAGGAGAGCCGCAAGCACTTGCGCACGTTGCAGAAGAGCAGAGGCTTTTTCCATGGCGATGTGAAGGGTGAGATCAGCATTGAAGATCGCAAGGCCGCAGTTCAGAAGGAGAAGCAGCGCACACGCTGTGCGGCATGTGGCAAGATTGGCCATTGGGCGGGCGATCAGGCTTGGACCTCATCCAAGATTGGCCCGAAGAAGTTCGACAAGAAGAAGGGCTCAGGCAAGGGCAAGTCAAAGGGCAAGGCATACCTCGCGGGTGAAGCTCCTTCCTTTTTTTCGCTGGACTTTGATGAGCGTGGAGAAGATGTTACAGAGTTTTGCAACATGGTCGGCGAGATCAAGGAGGAGACAGAAGAGGCGGAGCCCATGCTGGATGCTGACCTCGAATCAAGGCGCAAGAAGGCCGTGCCCGTGGCGTCAGAGTCGGAATGGGCATCATCATCCGTTGGTACATCATCAGCCACCCCCATCAATGACATGACCTATGCCAAGGGTTATACGACAGCCACACCCATGATTCCAGACAGCCCAGCCAAAGTGTTCGTGAAGGTGGAGATTGAGATCCCCCGGCCAGTCAGATCCGTACCTTGTTTGGCGCCCAGTTTTGAGGATGTCCGGCCAGCCAAGCTGATGGAGATGAAGGTCTACGAGCTTTCGTCCGAGTGTGAGGCTTGGGGAATTGCGACCTCAGGCAACAAGTCAGAGTTGCAGAATCGGCTTGAGGCCTTCTTCCAAGGAGAACCAGTTCCTTGCAAGGGCTGCGCCAAGCAGTTCGTTCAGTTGAGAGTGGATTCATTGGAAGCCGGAACAGCATCATCACAGAAGCCGATCACCCCAGGAGCACGCCCCAAGGCGACAGCCAAGAAATCCGCAGCCAAGCCAAAGCCCACGGCAGCCCGTGGCTATTCCTACGCCGCCGAGAATGACCAGCCAGTCCATGGTGAGAGCCAAGGGGAGTTCAGCCCAGCAACCCAGTTGCACAGCCTCGAGCGAGTGATGTCGCCAGTGACGGGAACTTTTCGCACCACAACCAGCCCGAAGACGCCATCCCCGGCCAGGTGGAGCATCCGGCCATGGACCCCAGAACATCCGTACCGGTCCCAGCTGGCATGGCGATTGGGCAGATTCCGCCGTGGCTCGGCTGCCCTTTTGGCGGTCATCCTCTGGTCCTTCGTCGCAACCGGGAGGACGCAGGATTGTTCTTCGGCTGCGGCTGCTATGACTACCCTCGATGCCGAGGCTATGAATCCACTTTGCCGGAAGGTATGAGCTGCAGCCCGACTGCCTCTACCAAGTCCTTTCATTTCGCCAACGGTGCAACGACAGATGATCGTGCAGTTGTTTGGAGGATTCCGATCTTTTTGGAAGGTCACAAAGGAGAGGTTTTCAGTGCAGAAATCACAAGTGGTTCAACGCCCCTTCTTCTTTCTATTGCCGCGATGACAGCCTTAGATATGGTGCTTCGTGTCCGTGAGCAGTTGGTTGAGGTCAAAAGTTTGAATTTACAGTTGCCCATGCTTGTGACACTGTCCCGACATTTGGCCATTGAGGTGTGTTACAAAGAGGAGCTTGGGGATTAGAGATCATGATTTGGCCCAGCCACGGTTGATTTCAGAAAGAGAAGATCTCTTGGTTTATTATGGTGAGGAAGCCCGCATGAGTTTGTTGACAGATCTACCTTTTATTCCAGAGCCTCACCAGATAGCCAAAGAAGTGATCGAAGCCTCGCATGCTGCCCGTTGTTTGTCGTCCAAGGATCCCATTGGACAGGCGTCGGAACGACGACGTCGAGAGCTTGAGAAGGCCGCCAAACGTGTTCAAGCAGCCGACGCTAGAATGTGGGTAGCGTTGAGGAGAGAGTACAGCTTAGCAGAACAGTTCAGCGCCTTTGATTTCACAACAACAGTTCTGTTTGAGCCTTTTGGTGGGAGTTTTGTTACAACACGTTTTGCAGCAGGGCATTATGGTTGGACAAACAGTCAACCTCTAGGCCTGATAGACGGATATGATTTGTTAGCTCCATATGGCCGTGGTTTGTTGCGCCGTGTTTTGGACGAGCGTAACCCGTTTCTTGTTCTCATAGCATTTGATTGCAAGTTTTGGTCATTGCTTACAAACCTCAGGCCGCCGATCGATTGGGAGCACTGGCGGGAGACATTGGGAGCAAAGGCATTGCAGTTGGTCGTTTCCATTTGTTTAAAGCAACATGCCGAGCAACGGTATTACCTTGTTGAGAATCCAGCAGGTAGTTTGACGTGGATCTTTGAACACATTCTTGCACGATTGTTGGATGAAGCACAGGGCAAGCACGTTATTGGAGATCAATGTGCTTATGATCACCGTGACCTCGTTTCCCAGAAGCCCGTCAAGAAGCCCACAGGTTGGTTGTCAAACTCTGGCAAAAGGTGCCGATGTGCTTGGGGAGCACATGAACAGCTCTTAGGCAGCAATCGCGGAGGACTCCGATCCGCTCAAGCCGCCAGATACCCCCAGGCACTATGCGCTGCAATCTGCAGTGGTGTCGAACATCAGATGGAGATAGATTACGCTTTGAGCATGTCATTCCGTGACGGTCAACATGCCTTAGCAGCAGACGATCAACAAGATGAGGCAATGGACTCAGATGAAGATCCATTTGTTACAGGTGTTTACAAGGATTTGTGGCAATTAGATGGTGACAGATTGATTCGACATCACAATCTTCCTCGCAGAAAGTTCTTTTCGCCATCACCTCAAATGAAGTTTCCAGCAGGTGTCAAATTTGAACATATTCTTGACGGCAGGGTCGCCGAGCTAAATTTCCTTGAAAGCTTTCAGAAGCAGCGTGACGATTCAACTTGGTGGCAGCAGCCAGTGAAGGAGACGCAAGAGTTTTGGAAAGGCAAATCCATTTTTCGCTTGCAGATTCGTGGAGATGATGAGCAGGAGGACATTCCTATGCCAGATGTGTCCGCTCCGGAGGTCCCCATGACTCCGGGAGGCAGACCTGCGCCAAGGACACCTGGTTTGCGTAGGAAGCGTGAGCCTACAAGACAAGTGCAAAGAGGGTTTTGGCAAGATGTTCCCGAGGAGCAGACCAAAGTTCTTTTGCAAGAAGCTTTGATTTTGTTCAGGAGCATGGCGTTGATGGTTGGCGCAAGCTTGATTTGAGTTCAGATCTTGGAGAGCGATGGATATCTCATGAGTCGGCCCAAGCCGATGTTCATTTGATCCTGTTGTCAAACAAAGCCGTTCGGATGCGCAAACCACAGCCCCATGCTGGGCCACAAGAAGTTCCTTTGCGACAGTCCTACATTCTTCCAGCGAACAACAAGGTGTTGTCTACAAGTTGGGAGGAATGGGCAAAGATGGCTCCATCATCACAGGTGAGGCCACTCGTTGCAAAGTCTCGGAGGCTGTATGCTGCAGTGTTCGGGAGATTTCTTGGTGAAGGCTTGGCAGAAGAGCGTGATGATCGTTTTGCAGCCAAGGAAGCAGAGCGACAGCGCAAATGGACAGCGCTTCCGAGAGAACTCAAGCTTGCAGTGAAGCGTATTCACGTCA